CTGGAGACAACTTTTAATACACGGTCACGAATTTCCTCCATTGAACGTTTACCGGATGTGCAGTAACATACCTTAAGCAAATTAATCTTAAAACAAAGTTAATATAAAAAACTGGCAGCGGAAAAGCTAATGCTGTGTGAAATAATTAATATATCATATATAACTAGTTAAAAGCTAATTTTTTGTTTTGGAAAGTTTATAATCGTTGAAATTTTTATATAACGAACTAATTTTGTTACACCAACAGTTGGTCCCTAAAATTTCTACATCTTTGGCACTCAGCGAGGAGTTAATAGAAATGCAAATTTCTTGTTGATCTTTCCGGGTCTCTCTTAGAGCATTGCGTATTAAAAGTGAGGTTAACAGCAAACATGATATGTCGGTAGGAAAATACTGTCGGTTTGATATTCTTGTTACAAAATTACTTACTTGATTTATTGTCACCGCAGCATTCCTTTGAACTAGAGCTAATCGTGGTTGAGTTTTAGCAGCAAGAGCGATTCCTCTTTTAACATTTGCGACAACACTGACGCGACAGCAGTTGCGTGCAACTTGTGTCCACATGTTTAATATTCTACAATAAATATTTATACGAATAAAAATCTATCACCACAAATACGAATGGTTTTTATCAGTTTGCACCTCACTTTTTGCTGCCTTTACGAGAAGAATATTATGTAAAAACTTCTAAGATGTTGTATAGCGGAGAAAAGTCAAAAATAATGGGAATTTTTTGACGCTCAGCTGCTTCACTACGTGCTGCGTTCGTACAAAATATACAATTGACAATTCATAAAGTGATACTTTTAACATATGTTTGTAAAATTATTTTTAGTGGGTAATAATATAAAATTACTCCGAGTAGTTTCCAAGCAAAAAATCCGTTAAAATTACTAAATTCTTTCTGAAAAAAGCAGACTGTAGCCTCTTCACACAGCTTAAGTAATTGTAATTTTGATTGCAATATTGCTTAATTGGCAAGCTTTTCTAAAAACATGTTCACACAGCATGCATTAACTCTGTAATTCCATTTGTACTACTAAACGTTGCAGTAAAGTTTTGTTTTATTATGCTTTAGTTTATAAAAATTATTTGCTATTTCGCTACAATTGTACAATTGTGAATTCATAATTTAATTCCAGCTTGATTACGCATAGTCGTAATTCTGGTTCTCGGATTTTTTTAATTTAACTAGATTAAATGTTAATTACTTATTAAATTATTTTTTTCAAAAACTTTGACGTAAAAATAATTGACAGTATATGTATATGCATACATATACATGTTATATGTTATATTAATAATATACAACATTAATGCAAAAACCAAAATCAAAATATAATAGGTTGCTCCCACCAGTTATATGAAGAGAAACTCAATTATAATTGTTAACAGCACTCACAAACTTATATGCCTTTCTTTAAAATCGAAAATTGTGTTAGTTAGATTATTAGCGGTTTATAAAATAGGTTATGTTGCTTACTGCCACTTTTTCTCCAAAACGTAATAAAATTGTCCTAAAAGTTGCAAATTCTAAAATTTATTACCATACAACACTGCTTTGCTTTAATGTCGAGGCACAAATACGCCGACTCTCATGTCGAAATTTGAACCGATATAAATCGTCAGGACTTGACAAGGGTACACGAAACTGTACACGGTAATGCCTGATATGTAGTATCATCATTACTTATCTTTCCTATGTCATGCCAAAGGCTATTTGACTAAAGTCGGGTCATCATTTCTGTATCTTTGCATTTCGGGTACATTATTACAACTGTTTCATTTTTCGAGCAATGTGCATGTCAATCTGCACTAGTCGCATCAACAAAAATTGAACGTTCCTCAAGGACTCCAGGAAAAATTGTAGTGATATCTTTAGGTTAGGTTAGGTGAGGTAATACCCGCGATCCCAGGGGGATCCAGAACCGGTATTTAGAACCTTTGGCAAAGCTTATGATGCTATATAGAGGGAGGTCTCGAAGTTCGCCAAGTTCCTCAAAAAAAGAAAGCCCCCAAAAATTAAAGGCGACACCGCGCATGTGCTAGACAGAAACAAAGCAGGTGGGAGGAATTTTCGTCATCCTCACCACAACTGCGGCAAAAATAGTTGAAAGGGAAATTCAGTCTCCTAGTATGATTATCTATCTGTTAGTAAACATACTACAAGACTGATATCTCCACGCGGCAACTCTAATAGAGTTTTGGTTTTCTAATGTTGGTTTGTAGCCACATTGCATACAGATGCCTGCATATCGCAGAGTCTTCCCATCTTTTGTTAAACAGTTCGGCACAGGAAGAACTCAATACCAATTTGCATGATGTCAACGATATGCCCAGATTGTTTAGGTGTTCCGACTGGTTCCCTGAAGCACCCCGTCTGGTTAGCTCATCTACTTTGCTATTGCCGAAAATATCCCTATAACCAGTATCTCATTTAGAGATGTGTAGCAGTCAAAGACCGTCCTAGATGTGAATTGGACTGAACTCAAGGAGTTTAAAGCAGCTTGACAGTACGAAGATTTATCAAGGGTTATCACCATATGGTTATGCTATATAGAAGTATTGCTCTAAGGACAGCCGTGTATAGCCATTGAGCGATACGTGGTTGCAATCCCTACTTTTTACCAATAGATTTTTGACGAAAAAGCAATGCAATGTTTGCTTTCCTAGCTCGCCTTGAAATATTTTCTTTCCAGCTCAGTTTTCTATCAAAAACAATGCTTAAAAATTTTGCTTTACGAGTAATTTGTATCGCAGAACCTTTAATATAGAGTGGAGAAAGATTTGAGACCCTATGTTTTCTAGTAATACTACGATATCTCTTTTTCTGGGGTTAACCCCGAGACCACATTTCAGTGTCCAAATGTTAAGGATATTCAGGCCATACTGCAAAATATCTCTTAAAGTAGTAGCATATTTTCCAGTAACTGTTAACGCAATGTAATCCGCATATGCAACTGTCCCCCAGCCAGCTTTCCTCAGTTTTTGTAGCAGTTTAGTCACCGCTGTGTTCTAGAGTAGGGGAGAGAGTACGCCCCCTTGGGGGGTACCTCTATTTACCCGTCTGGGTGTAATGGGCTGATACACCCATTTGTGCTTCAATAATTCTGCCAGTTAATAATTGGCCGATAAAGCTGGTGAGCGCATCCTCAACACCCAGACGCAATACTGCGCTTGCTATTGCACAGGGAAGAATATTGTTAAAAGCTCCTTCAATATCTACGCAAGCAAGTGATATCGTAACGATTGCAAACTAATTCAGTCATTCTAACAGAATATCTTTTTAAAAAAACATATAGCCGTTATGATGACGGCGAAAACATCATATAACCACCACTTAAGCAGCAGGATTTGCTAACACATTGCAGGAGGCATTGTTGTGATTTGCTGTAGTTGCAAAACGTTTGAGCATCCTCGATTTTATATGGCAATATAAAAGTTTGCGAGCATACGTGAGTTAAGTCAAAAAGAAATTAATCTTTCTAAGATGAAGAAAAAGTTTCCCTTAAAAAAAGTTACATTTACCGCGATTATTTAAAATGTATCTTCTCTTTCGCTTCTATAATACGTCTTCTCTACTAATATTGTTAAAATATGTCGACTGATTTGTGTCGTAGATAACCATCGCTATCATCAACGTGTTTTATGAAGCGAACATCAATACATTGTGCAACATTTTTATCTGTCCGTGTACCGTGACATTACCTACCGCCGGGATGGTGATACTTTAAGATTTTTATGTGGATGACGTGCCTACTGGGGGTAGCAACGGTGGCTATCCGTTGCTTATCGAAAAATGAGATGAGCTAATCCAACTTTTACGTTGTACCACATTGGAGCTAAGTTAGTACCTATCTGATTCCTCTTTAAGTATGAATATTTTAGATCAGCGCTCCAGCCACAATTTCTTGCAACAGCAGAATGACTTTCCAAATGTACTTGGTTTATGGTGCAAACTAGTAAACATCATTCGTACTGCAGAATAAATTACACAATTATTTCATTACACACATTGGTACGACATACTACCTTACGAATAGAGGTGATCTTCTATATTGTAATTCCCTGAAGTTTTCATGATATGTATAGAACTCAAACGCTGTACTCGAACCCCATGTTTTTTGTAAAGTATCCATTAAAACCTATTCATATATTTTCGTTACAAAAACAAATTGGGAAAAATAATAGAATACTGCAAAAATTAGGTAAAATCACTGCAAAACAAGTGTTATTCCATTGTAACAAATTTCCACACCCAGATTAGCCTTTCTTAAATGGTAGAGAGCGAGAGCGTTTTTTAATCTTATTTATAAAGCACTTGGCTTTGCTCGAAGTTAAGTTTAAAGTCGTTGTGGCATTCTATTCTTAATAAACAATTTCAAAGCCTTGCTATTTTAGCAGTTACAACAGCTCCAACAGTTAGCATAACTTCAATTAAATTTTCCTATCGACATACTCTAGAGTTTGCCGAAAGACACGACTAACTTAGTAGAGAAGATCTAAGTTAAAATCTCTACATTTGCAAACTGCTGGATAATAATCTCATCCAGAGGCGTACCACAATCAACTTCTGCCTAAGAATTTTCACACTCATGCGCATCGAAATGACACATGAATTGGTCACACTTGGTCCACTGCATCCGCTATTACATTTGTATCAAATATCGACAACAAATGCAACGCGCATCCATTTTGACGTCGAATACTTAACGGGTTATTTCAACTTTACACGCTGATGCAGAGATCATACCACCTGTCATCTTTTAGGAATCAAAAAGACTGTTCATGGTATATAAGTTTTTTTTTTTTAAATATATAAGACATTCTCCATCTTAACCATGTACCAAATATGATAAATACTTACTGAAATGATTATAATATCCCGTGATCAGGTTACGACGTGACACGTTTATGTAGCCTAGTGTAAAATGTATATTTGTATGTATATTGTAGGAGTATATTATTGATATAAACAATATTGAAAAATACGAAACAAACATGTTATATCTAGCGCTTATTTATTATAGTCATTATATTTGGTATTTTAGGGCTTTGATTTGATTGAATAAAGGTTATAATTTACACTTCAAAGCTGACAATTGTTCAATTTTAACACAGTGGTACTTTTAAAGCTCTCTCTTCTTTATATACTTTATTTTAATTTACATATTTGCGTGTCTGAATATTCAAACAATTGATTTATTGTCCAGCAATCTGAAATAGTCAATATTTGTTTTTTATATCTGTTAAAAATATGGAAAGATTTTACTTACAACAACAAGATGACCACTCTTATCACGTACGATACCTGGTTGCGCGCCTGTTTGAATATCGATAACACCGGACTTCCCCTTGACAACATTGTGTTCCAATCTTAGAAAAGAAAAAAAAAATAATCTTAAGCAAAACAATTACGAATTCGCTTCACTTACGAGTCACGACTAACGATACTGATAATATTTGCAGTACCAACAGTATCGATTATATAGGTGGAAAATTCGATGATATATGGAATAACCAATATCAAATCGCCCTTGTCTTTTTTAAGGTCAAGCGGAATACGTATAACCATTAAGTCGTCACTGTGATTAGTTAGGACAAAATCAATTTTGTCCAAAGGCAGACGATGTTTTTGCTTGTACGTTTTGCCATCCAACACATAAAGGGCTTTAGTGCTTAATAAGACAAAACGATCCCTGGACTTGTAACCATGACGATCATATTTGACACATGTTGAGGAGTAAGCGAGGCGCTCACTTCCAAATGCAGTTGCCACAAAGTTGTTAATTTGGGTTGCATGCTCTTTGGGGATGCGATCATTTTGGAATAGTTGACCGATACTTCCAGGATAATTATTTTTTTTGTCTGTACAAAAGTTAATTTGAAAATTAATTATAGTTATTTTAATTGTTTTATTGTATAAAATATGAATTTTACCCTTGAAAACTTTTTCTGCAAGTACTTTGAGTTCCATCTGACGTTTTCTCTCCGCACTTAATTTCAATCGGTAAACTCGAGCTAAATGCAAACGCTGTAGGCGATGTAAATAAGTTGATGCTTCTTGACAGTGTTTTGGGGCTGACGGCCAGCTCTTGTCAAGCACTTTCGTAGGCAATTCTTTGGATAGTCGTAAGAGCCACATGCGTTTACAATTGGCAATAAATGCTTCGTTGTATCCATTTGGGGGATCATTTCGAGTGATAAAACCTTTAATGAAAGCTCGAACTTTTTCAACGGCCTCGCGTTTTCTTTTGATTGCTTGTTGAGCCAAATGACGACGACAATACGACTGCAAGACGATAACTTGCTGGCGCAGCTTAACGTATTTCTTGCGTTGCACACGTCCCCTCCAGTGTGCCTGAAGAATGGCAGCGATATCATGTTTTTTAAGTTGAAAAGCATCTTCGGTATCAAATAAGGTTTTTGGAAAACGAATGAATAATTTTGTTTCTCCAATACGGTAGTCTTCTGGACCATAATTAAGTTCCTTAACCAAAATTTTGACACCACTTTTAGCTGATCCATTGTAATTTGGCCATGTACTTTTACTCAAGCATTTATAGCGGTTCAAAAACATTTCGTAAGTTCTATAAAAAAAAAATTATACTTATTATAAATATATTTATAACACAGGTTTTTTCGAATATTGATAATATATATACCTTCTATAAGCAAACCCAGCTCGTCGTACTCGCAAATTTTCCATTAAGCCTAAGTATTTAACTTGATGTAGTACCAAGTCATTATTAAATGCACCTGGACTCTGAAGATCATTTGGCTTTATACATCTTATGTAGGAAGGTTCTTTGCACATTAATATGTCCATTAAGTTATTTAATGAGGATTTAAACTGTGTAACCGCTGTTTCTGGACGTTTTTTGCTCTTATACTCAAGTTCCGGGAAGCATATGCGCACAATACTATTACTGGCTTTACTCATGGTTTCCTTTAAATCTCTAAAAAGCAAATCGTTGTTCTTATCAAGAAATCCATTGACATTGTAAGTTACTTCGCCCGCATAGTGTACCAAGCGGAATTCATTACGACCCATTGTTTTTTGAATTTGAGTTGATGATTTTTCATGACATATGTAATGTGGATGATCAGAAAGTTGGTGAGTTAATTTCTCCAAAAATGTAATATCTGTGGCATCACCAGGACGCAAGCATTCCTCATCCAATATGGAAATGATTCCTTTGAATTTCTCTTCAATCAAATTACAGATAACTTTGTTGTCAAAGTACTCTACAGGAACCCATTCGATACCCTCACGACGATATTCGTCTTGCTCAGACTTAAGTGTGAGTTCAATAAATAATTGCTGTAATTTCTCATTACAGAAATTAATACAAAACTGTTCGAAATTGTTCTTTTGGAATATTTCAAAACCGTAAATGTCTAAAATGCCCATGACATTGTTACGTGCTCCATGCAAATCCTTTGCTTGTAGCGAAATATTAAGACGAGTCACTAACCAAGAGAATAAACGATCATATACCGCTTTTGCTAAGGCATCGCGCGCATATATGGCCATATCACGGCTCAATGGGGAAGTAACGACATCACCACGTGCATCAATTGTGCGATTTGTAAGTGCGGCAGTAAGCTCATCAGTATTAACTCCGAGCAATTTGGACGCAGAAGCCACTGTGTCTACCTCTAACACCTTAGAGTTTCCACCATCTTCGGTAAAATTAATATTTCCTAAGTGTAGAACACTTGCAATTATGCTGAAGATTTCGTTTTGTTCATCAGCCGAAAAATCAATGATGGTCATTGCCTGTTTCACAGTTCTAAAATTTTCAGCATCGTTAATGTTGCTGACAGATCCCCTTTGCTAAAGTAAAACATAAATTTTAGTATTCAAGTAATCGGTAAAAATATTTAAGAAGCACGAACCCCATCGCTTAAATAGACGTAGTTGTTCAGATTGCGAGTTAAATTCAGTGATTGTAATTTATCGTCACTCTCTCCAGCGAGCAGTTGATAAAAAATATGGAAGTTTCTTTCCCCTGAGTTTTGACTGACAACTCGGGATTTTTCCAACAAATAATTCAGAATGTTACCGCCGATTGGAGTGCCCGTGAAATCAAATTGAACGTCCATATATTTACCGAAGCGTGAGGAGTTTTCATTACGATTTGTTTTTGCGTTACCAAAAGCTTCAAGAACCGGATTACTTTTTAAAAGCTTATCTTTAACTCCCTCAACAGTAGTCTGATGACCGGAGCATGCTGCGATATATTCTAAGACCTTTTTGGAGGCTTCTGTTTTCCCAGAGCCACTCTCGCCTAAAATTAGAAACATGAACAAATTATGAATGTTGCACGAGACTCTTAAATTACTTAATCTTTATAAGACAATAAGATTACAAAATATTTCTATATATTTACCTGATATAAGAACACATTGTCCCTGATTTTCCTCAATCAGTGATCGGAAGGCATTATCGGTGATGGCAAATCTAAGAATTACAACAAAACGTTTAAGTTGAATAAAATATTAGGTACTAAAATCGACTTACATATGGGGTGGAATTTCGAAAAAGTGTTTATTTCTATATTCCTTGATATGATTCTCAGAATAAATGTCCAAATTTTTATAAGGATTGACAGATATCAATACCGGACCAATATAAGTCTAAAATAAAATAAAAATATATAATAAATATTATATAATAAATAATATATATATATATAGATTTTTATAGATATACATATATGTATTAGAAACAGTGGAAAGACATACTTATGTAAAATAAAATTAAATAAAAAGAGTTACAATATATGGTATTAAATATATATTCATAGTATTTTAAATTAAAGAAATAAAAAAAATTTGTGTTACAAATCTATTATATATAATTTACTTATCAAATTTTCTAGAAATATATATAAAAATACGGGAATTTTTTATTTGTGCAGTTCATGAAATATTGGGTTTCTCTGAAAGTTATTTTGTTTTTTTGGTGGAAAGAAAGACATTTTTTTTTAATGATGTGCAAATTAATTAATATTAGTTAATATTAATTATTTAATATTAGTTAATATTGACTGTAACATGACTTTACTCTATAAAACTTCTGATCTTTACTGGCAGGAAAATATTCCGGTTATTTTTGGCGTTCTTATATAAAGTAAGCTTTTGACTTTTAGTCTTTTCGTTAGTTTAAAATTTGTCGGGTTGATGCCTTATAAAAACAATCATGCCTTACATCAGTTTTCAAACCAAGAACCTATTTACGTTCTTTGCTCCATGATCTCTTGCCTTTAACATTGTTGTGGATAATCTATTTTTCATTCATGATATATCATTTTCATGACTCGGTAATAAACGGATCATTTTCTTAAGTTATTATAAGCAAACTGTAAACGTCAATTCGATAGAAAATAATTTTTCTGTAAGAACAATTGGACCGCATATGATCAGCTTTGAAGACAATGTTAATTTCTTAGCGACCTCATGAGTTAAAAACAACTCGGTCGGTTTGCATCAATTAATGATTTTTTTTTCTGTATCTTCAACATCAAAATTGTTAAAATGAAATTTTGGAAATCAATATTGGCATTCCCTTTCTGGGAAAACATCTAATCTATACACATTAATTAATTTCTCTTTTAGTTGATCAACAAAGACAATTAAATTAATATATCTTAAAAACACCATATTCAGCTATCTATACTTTATAAATCACCCAACATTAACTAAAATTAAGTGTAGAATTAGGTGTAAAAAATTCATTTAAGCCCAGTTTAGAGGTCAAAGTAAAATCGCTTTACCAGTAGTTCAACATCTAACCAAAATTTCATATATTATACTTTCCATTTCATAGACCTGATTTGGCAGACTTGTGATATATGTCAAACGGAACTACGATCTAACGACTGCTCACTGGGTTTTGAGATTTGTTTTTCAGTTAATAGATTTATCAACAGTGCCGGATGATACATCCGTACTTTTTTGAAAGTGACAAAGATATTACACTATAGTCATATGATTGTTTGATTTTTTACCATGATATTAAAGATATCTCGATATTTCAATTAGAAATGTGTTTTTTTTTATTTCGGAACCTCAACATCTTATATTTGCAACTTCATCTGACTGGATTGACAAAAGTCGTTATGTAAATTTAATTTAATTAGTTATAATAGCTATTAAATTATTTATTGAAACGGTCACCATGATTAAGATTAAATATATATATATATATATATATATATAAATTTAAATATTGCTAATATGGACTCCAATATCTTATTCGTTTCATAATGAACATTTCACAAATTTAAAATATGCCCTTTAAATATAGTGTATATTTCAAATATTTATTTCAAAAATATTAAAACGAAATAATAAGAATCTAACTTAGAATAAAATAGATATAAGAAGTGTACCTATACACCATATACTTATATTTATAAATTTTCTTATGTCAGCAAACAAATTTTTCAGATTAAAATTTTAGTCATTTATATAAAAAAAATATATATATAAGTAGCCATGGTTAAAAATTCAAAATATTACTTATTAATAAATAAAAATTCTTACACAGTTCCATGTCTAATGTAAGAAAGTTTTTGAGAGCATGTTTTCAGAAAAAAAAAAATTAAAATCAAGGTAAATAATTTTAGAAAAAATATAAGAATCTTATTAGAGAATTTATATACTTACATAGATTATATTTTCTTGGAATCTCTTTCGTAGATTATCGATGAAAGCTTCTTCATTCTCGAAATCTTCAAGCAACACAAAGTCTTGGACACCCACACGATCGCGTTCGTGCAATCCCCTTTCCATGGCTAGCTTGGACGTAGAACTGAAAAAATAAAGGAACTTTATGTAAGACAGTTTATAGCTAGATTATAGAAGATATGTATTATTTACGCATAAAGAAGAAGCAATTTGCCTGCAATTTTACCGATTGTTTGCCATTTTTTAACCAATTTGTTGGCTAATTTCATATTGTACTTAAAATTTTAATGAGCGCTATTTTTTGAAAAATTATAAAACTCGCGTTCGTTCTACTTGAAAAAAATTAAAATCGGCAAAAATATTTGTAAATTTTATTATTTTTTCAACATGTTTTTCTTACCGTAACATTAAGTAGTTCATAGCAAACCAACTGAATCATGGGCTGCTTTGCCTCAGGAAATATTTCTAATTAAAATTTCCAATAATACTTATTAAGGTGTCAGTGGCCTTAACAGGATTAAAAAACTTCATTATACAAAGAGTTGAGGTAGTTATAGATAAATATATAGTGACCAAATTAGATTAGTAGATAAAAAAAGATGTATGAAATAACTATACAGTAACCAATTGGACAATGCTTGGTTTAACATAGTATTGAAGAATATACGATCACAGTTAAGACGACTAACCTCTAAAATATCTAACGTCTCCAAAACCGTAACCTAAAATATAAGTCTATAAGTCTATTATATACGTAGTTTCAAAGATTTTTTGCTGAAAATAAATTATTCGTAATAAAAATATAGTTAAATACACTTTAATATAATTATAATAGAAATCGCTGTACTATAGTCTGTAGTTATATGTATATATATCTGCAATAAAAAAATATAATAAATAAATACTATTAGGTACTGCGGACATTAAAAACACTTTTTTTGTGTACGGTAGACGAAACATAAACCACTAAATTAAACGGAGGGCAAGAGTAGCCCATAGAATGGATTTATTGATTTTTGTGATTTTGCTTTCTAAAACTAAATTTATTATATATATTTTGACAAATTATTACTTCTAAAATAATTTGATTAATGTTTAAAATATTTTTTTTTAATTTAACAACAAAATATATCAGACTTATATTTATCTTTACAAAGATTTACTGAAGAGTCATTATTCCTATGTGATAGCAATATCACATGTCGTATCTATGTGATAAAAACTATATTTTCACACGACAATCAAGTAGACATATCAGCCTTTCTTTATGAAAATTCAATACATAGTGTCAGTATGTCGACGAGATTTGTTTGGTTAATCTGAACAGCAAGCTGAAAGTTATATGGAAACTGGCTATAAGGGTAGTAAGGTAACTCCGACTGTCCTAAGGATTTCATTTGGAATATTGACCTATTATTTTACCATATTTTAAGAAGCTAAATTCTTCTAAATATTCCCTATACTTATCTTTAGAATTTATTTCCGATTACATTTTATTTGAATGTTATCTGCACTAAACAAACATTATATATTTATTTATAAGAATTTAATTATTTTGGAAAAAAAAATTTTGTCATTTTAAGATTTAAGCAGAATTCCATTGGTCTTATGTATAAACTATGGTAATCACAAGCTGTTTGATATATTTTGATGTGTGTAATGTACATGAGTATCAATGATGATCAGGGTTTCCAACCGGAATTTTTTTCCGTTCCGGTTTTCATTCCTGCTGGTAAAAATATATAGTTAGAAAATTTTTAATCACTGAAAAAGAAACAGTATGTAGCAAAAATGAAGTTGCCTGTATACACCACATGTACCAGGGTATACAGGCCATCTACTAGCATTTACAATGTACTTTTTCAATCCTTGGCTTCTTACATAAAACAAGCTATCGAAATAAATAAAAATTTGCAATCAAAGTCTACTCAAACTGTGTACTTATTATTTAATTGTACAATTAATTCTATAGAATATTGGTTTCAAAGTAATCAGAATTATTTTAAAAATAGATCGTATGTGTAGTATTAAGGTCTTGAGGTCATTTATTAGCAATTACATGAGTTGGTGAGGTAGTTACTTCAAACATAACTCTTGCATAAGTTAAATCAAAATTATAGCGTTTGAAGCGATAGTATGCTTCTCTAATCGGTACAAAAATGGGCATTGAACATGGATCTAACAAACACATTTAAACTTGGTTAAACTTTTAAAACGCAGTTTAAAAAGAATTTTGAAGAAAGGAAATTTATGATCATTGCAGATTACATCAACAACCATTCTGCGGTCCTTCATGAAGCTTTCGCAAACTTAAAATTAACTAACGACTGGAAAGAGCAGCTCAGACTGATTGGGATATTGCTAAAGAATTCTTGCCGAATCGATCAAGAGCCAGAACTAGGGAGCTAGGAGATGGCAATCGACTCGTTACAGGGTTTCTCATTGGACATTGCGGAGTAAAAAAGAATATATCGAATCTAGGTATTACAAGAGACGATAGCTGCAGACTTTGTTGCGAAGAAAAGGAAACAGCAGAGCACATTCTGTGTCACTGTGATAGTCTAGCCAGATTCAGAATTCAGTACTTAACAATTGCCTAGCCACTTATAACGGACTTAGGCAACATCTCTCCAAATAACATAATGGCGTTTTTAACTGCTACTTATCTATAGAATTAAAGTGGGTATATTACAATAATCATTAAAGGATGCAGTGATGTGGTGACAAGTTCGCAACACGTTCTTAAATCTAATCTAATGTTTATATAGGAAAATAATTAAGAAACCAGCCTTCGTCCGCAAATGGAGGTGAATGAGATTTCAAGTCCATAATACCTAATAATCAACGCAATTACTGAAAAATATAAAGATCAAGATAAAGGTAAGATAAAACAAGAGAATTTGCAGAATTTACGATCCATCTATTTATACAAAAAATACTGTTATTTGGTATGGGGTGCCCCGATATAACCCTTTAATATTTGAAGACAATCATTAACTTAATTCTATCGCTATGTAAAATAATTTTAAATATAATAAAGTTAAAAAGAAATTTGAAAACTAAAAATAGCACATCCATAATCATTTCCTATTAAGGGCTGGCTCTCATTTAAAGCTGTTTCCTTCAGTAATCAACCAAGATGACACCAAATACGGGATTTACGTATTTAATTACAATTTTTTTTATAATTCATATGAGGTTTATAAATACTTGAAATCGACTTTGAATGAACTTGTGCCATATACCATGTATTGTTTTATTAAATTAATTTCAACAAATTTATCTTATCAAAGCGAGTTTTTTTTTCTTCTGATAATCATGTGCTAAGAATTGATGGTAAATCCAATCCAATTGCATTACGTAATCCCATTTGGTTTAGTGGTCAATATTTTTTAAGTACACATTATGATGTGTACTTAACTGATGTGTACTTAAAAAGTATAATATAAAGTATTTGAAAGGATTCAAGATTTAAATAAAATATAAACCAGTGTGAGGGGTGCATAACTTAAAATTTGTGAATTTTGCAAAAATATTTAAAGTACGTCAAATAGTTAAGAAAAAATTTTTAACGGCAATCAAACATTTATTTTATTTCTGGCTGATTAAAGATAAAATTTCACTACACATTTTTCACTGCTATCTCAAAATGATATCGTTTGCTATTTTAACTAAATTAAGGAATGAAGTCATTCAGATTTATCAATTATACATTGCAATGTATCTGTATCTATAACTTTATTTTTATTGTTGCACTTGGTAAAAATAATATGTTATTTATAAATAGCACACAAATTTAATATCAAGAAGCTTTATTGTTTGTAGATACTTTATAATACTTCATATAATTTTCATTCACTTCATATAATTTTTTATTGAATATTTATTCGTTGAATAAAAATCGACCTTAAAAATAAATTTCATTATAGAAAACTTCATATGCAATTACCTCGACATTTTTTATCTGTTGCCTCTGTTGACGTTTGTTTCAAATAAAAAGATATCCTGGCGATTTTGCAATTGCAGTTTAATTTTGCTGCTTGAAATAGGAATCTCGATTTTGGCCAAAGTCTATTCACACGTAGCGAAACTATTGGTGTTTAGCCATATTCGCGTTAAGGTTTCAATGATTTAAACTACTTTGATCGGTTCTAAGTAAATATGTTTTATTGAAAACTTGTTTATCTGCGTTCTTTATTTGTTCTATTTGCTCTTGATTGGCGCAATAATCGGCAAAGATTAGATACAGCGCTGAAGTATGCAAGTACCTACGCACACTCGCCACACAAACACTTGTTGCGTTCTTCGGCACAGGCACAGGCATAGGCACAGGCACCTATACCTATCTTATCACTTCGCACTATCTACCGATATTTGCGCTAGAATTTATAGCAGCGACTATCGAGAGCAAGCAATTAGCAGACGTTGGCATCGAACACTGTAAATATTTTGAAAATGCTCTGCTTCCGATTGTTTGAGATGAAATAATCTTGCGTAGCTTCACATGCCGAATGAAGATACTGAATGCATTTACTGATTTACTGGTACTCGGGACCCACATTTGGTTATCAGTGCGCTAAATAATTTATTTGCTCTTTACTTATACTTTTTATTATTTATTTTTTAGCAAATAAACGCTCATTTGCGCTAAGATGCAAAAATACTTTCCATTTTTTTTTGTGTATTTGAGTGATTCATTAAAGGTTCTTCCAGAGCACTTCTCAGCTCTTTATTTTTACAAACAACAAAAATATTTACTTTAGAAAAACGGTTCGAAATCTAATTAGAACAAAATTTTGATGGCCCTGAGTGATAAAAGCGTAATACGAGTATTATCGCATTATCACAAAACTTATCACTCAATATGCAAAAATAAACCGGAAACATTTTGAAATACTTTCAGTTAGAAAGATTCTTTTTATATATTTTGACGTTGTTAATCAATTAAGCGAAATTTCATAAATAAAAATAAAAAAAATTCCAGATAACTTGCATTGTCTCAGATATATCTGATGTAATATATATTTCAAGTTCAAGGACCAATGGATTGTAGATATAACATAATTATTTCAATATTTAATATATTTTTTAAATTCAATTTAATAGGACTTCAATATTAAATGCGAAAGGAAGACTAACAAATTTAGTTTAACATCTGTGCTAAATAATCTTAACATCCTCTACAAATGTATCTATATCGTTAACTGTCTAATATGAAAAATGGTAAATCGCGACGATTTATGGCGTTACCGATTGGTAAATCTAGAGTAATTTTTTCAATCAAGATTCTTTTTTAATGCACCGGTGCCCTCAGAAAATGTTACGTGTTCTTTGGACCAAACCGAATTTCAAACCAACAACACCTTACGAAAGCCGTCGAATAAACTTTGTTTTCAAGCCTTTACGCATAATCCGCAAGGGAGTCGAAGAAGACGAAATTCTAAGATTTCCTGGTGCAGATCAACACTAAACGAAATCAATAGCCAATCCGCACACCTTGACAGATCATACATTCATATTCTTGAGCTCAAAGAAGTGGCAGTAAGAAGACAAAGATAGAGGCAATTTGTAGATAGCCTATATCCAGTATAGTAGCAACTTGGAATCATGTGACGCCAAGCAAGACTAAATAATAATAATAGTAATAAATATGTTATGACAATAGTTACAATTAGCGTCGTCGATTATCCTTCTACTAAGTTTTCATATAAGTCCTTCAGATGATATAGTATGTTTAGACCATCTTACTTAACTCATATTTGGGTTCATCTCGATAAGCGTGTAGGGTTTATAGTTACATTTGTCATACAATATCTATACAATATCTATCAATGCAAAGATATGCGAGATAAGAGTATACTAATTTTTTAAGCTTAGTAAATACGGAGGTCACTATTTATATTTTGAGTCTTGGCAACGCTGATTCTTGTCATTTGACGTTTCCATATAAAAGTTTGACATTTATTTGTGTTATTAGTATTTGCAGTGATTTGTCAATTAAGTTTTCGCAAAAAAATGGAAGTAACGTGAGAAAATTTTCGTGTGATGATTTATTACGCCTTTCTATGCAGATCAAGACAAGAGTGCATCAATTGTGCCAGAATATATTGATGTTGTGCAAAAACTGATAATGCAAGATCATCATGGGACATACCGTGAGATAGTAGGCTTACCGTACGATAACTTTTACTACATATCTTCATTAGAAGAGGACAAATATTAGTGCTAGTGAAAAATCAGTAGAATATATTTATCAAAGATCTAACATACCACTTACTTAATATTATATAGTAACTTTATTTCGGGAAATTGGACATGCTAATGGCGTCATCGAAGAGAACATTTTTTCTTTACAAATATAAATATTTAAATTAAAACATAAATTTTTGTATCATCTCTTGGTCTATATAGTTAATTTATATAGTCATCTCTTTGACTATATACATTTATATAATTGAATTTAATGGCCAACTTTACTTTTAATGGAATGTATTCATATTATGCAGTAAATTACTTCTACGTATAGGTTAACAAGAGACAATAGATCAAGACCAATGATTTGGCAAAATTAATTGTTAAGTTATATTATTTTCTGTGATGATAATTTAATTCTAGTTATTAAATTAAACTTGGAATGGTTGTATTACATTTTATCTAAATAGATTTGGAAAAAATGTCGAAATGCGATATATTCTTTTTCCGTTTTTTTTTTTGGGTTTAGATTTATATATCACTTACACTTTCTAATGCCATTTCTTCGATTTTAGGTTAACTACTTTAAAGGAGTGAAGAAAATATTTTATGTTTTGTAGAAAACACAACTATTTTGAGATGTTATCAAAAATTTTATTAAATCCACCAAGAGAACATAATTTGATTAAATATCAACAAACAAATAATTACACTGCGATTATATTTTTTTGTCAACAAATATGTTAAAAAACACAGTTTTCCAAAGAGAATAAAAATAAAAATTATTTATAGAATAATGAAAAAAAATTAAAATTCATTACAAAATATATTTTTTTTTTCTTGATGTTCATAAACAAATCAATGACGTCACATGTAAAGATAGCAAAAAAACGGATACCGCAATTTCAAATTTTTATTTATAAATGTTAGCTTTAGTATGTATTTTGACTTATAGGTCCAGTACTTTTTCCATTTAAGATTTTTGTTTAATTAGAGTTTTATTGAAACAATGCCTGAAAGTGCTTGAAGTTGAAATAACTTTATTTCTTTTGATGACTTCAAGTGAATTTGGGGATATTTTTCACATATTTAATAATAATTTAGTTTATTAATTTATCAATGTTTTTATATTCCTTATTAAAGTTTTTTTTTAATAATTTACGCCACTGGAGTTGCTCAAATTGTTTTACGATATTCGTATGAATTGCAACATTCATACGGTCATTAAATCGATATTCTGCCTAAAAGTATGCAATAGTTTCATTAAAATTAATATTTTGCTTACCCAAAAAAACAGTTTTAGCAAAAAACTAAAATGCAAGTTAGAAGCGATTTATCAAATACGAATAAAGAACTTCCAACCAATCTTCAGATTTGAGTTAGTTTCTTCCATTTAAATATAAAATTTTGCTTATTATGTTTGATCACAAAAATGAGTTTTATAAATTCTGAACTCTTATCTATTTTTAAACGTTTGTCATATTTACCTTTACAATGTAATGCTTCAATCTGTAAAAGAGTAAAGACATATTATTTTAAACAGTTATAAATTTGTTTAATTTTTATTGTACCTTAATTTAATTAAATTAATAATTTAATAGTAAACTAATGTATAAATTGAATTATTGAGTAATTAAAATATTTAACTTCTAAATTAGAAACTTTAAATTAATTTAATTAATTTAAATGATCATTTAATTTAATTATATGTAATAGTAAACTAATTTATAAATAAATATAATTAATTAATTCAATTATTCTACAGCTGGTTTATGATTTCATTCTAATATAACACAGCAAGTTAATTTGTTCATAAACTTATACAGCAAATTAACAATACTCCAGAAAAATGTGCGAACATATAAGTGAAATATAGCTTTGGGTCTGTTGGTTAAGGAGCGCTGACTCTGAGCTTCTGAGCGGGACATGAGTTCGATTCCTGGTATTTGCAGTCTCAAAAAATTATTTACGAATAATTAAATACAAGAATTATTTCCAAGACCACTAATGATGGATATTTGGCAATACTCGAAACAGCTGCATGGTCAGTGGTACCCTTGTGTACCATAACTCAATTGAGTACAAATAGTGGCCTGTTGTGATACCACGGATGATACTGTCCGTACGACAGATCTGAAGTTCCGCCTCAAAGATGGAAGTCAGAATACTCTCTTTTATCCAAGTTCGGCTTAATTTTGTGAGCTTATCATTCTGTGACCTCTTCTTGGAAAAGGCCCAACATTGGCACCTCAAATTTAGAATTTCATTACAATTTGACATTTAGTTTAGAAGTTATAGTAGTCTTGATGAGGCTACTTCTATTATTTTTAAAATAATGGATTTAAAGCAATTTCGTATGTTAATTTGTTATTGTTATTAATTCATTATAATTATTAAATTATTATTCAATGGAATAAAATTGTCGTTCAAAACAAAGCCTGACTAAATAAGTATTATCGAAACGCTGCTCCATTGAAAGCAACCGTTGAATGTTTGTTTTTAGATTTTAAATGTGGCCGTACAGATACTGAAGACGCACCAAATAAGGTCGATAAAATGAGGGTTTACAATGGAAAACGTCAAAAAGTCTACAAAATTGTTTTGAAAAACCGTAAAGTGAAGTTATAGAGGACGTGTGATTTTTTGAATATATCAAAGGTACGTGTCGAGTTTATTTTAAATAAAAAGTAATTCCTTACCTAAGTATGAACAAAAGCTATTGCAATAGTTTGTTCTTATCAATATTTATTAAATTTCTGCTTTACTTATGTTACATAGATAATACTTGGAAAGTAAATATTTTTGTAAAATTTTATTTATTTTTGTCAAATTAAAGTTTTAAATTTTGTTCTATTTATTGTACAACTTTGACAAATACAAGGGGAAAGAGGTCGTTGATTTTGTTTTAAAAATTTCCGAAATAAATAGTCAGAAAATTTGTAGTGTATTTAGAGTTCAACATTTTTGAGCAGATGAGTTCAAGACTCATTGCAGAGTTTAGAGTCTGCATCTATTTTTGATAAAAGCAAATGATTTTGATAGAAACAAATCATCCCACTTATGGAAGTTTGTTAAAAGTACAGTAATGAAAGAGACTACAATTTCTGATGATCAAGCTGCAATAAGTTCGAATGGCGCATGAGATCAGGTGATAGGCGATACCCCAAATATCTGTTGCAGATTATGAGGAAGTATTTAACCGTTATTATAAATTCCTTGTTTTGAAAATGAAGTTGTTGGGAAAAGCTTAAATTTTATGGATTCTGATAAAACATTTTCAATTTAATTAACATCTTCCAAGAACAAAACGATACCATAGACTCTGGCGAATTTATGTGAAGAATGGATCACTTTGTTTTTCTGTCATTTAAGTTGAGCATCTAAAAACTTGTTACTGGAAGAGAGTTTTGAGTTATCGGTAAGACCATAAAATACAGTTTGGAACAAGAATTATTTAAATTAGCAGTTTTGAAATAAAAATTACTAAATTATAGTAAAAAAATGTTGAGAAATCAAAAACAAAAAAAGGTCGGAAAAGTGATTTAAATGTAAATTTATTTTTAATAAACGAAACATTACGGGGATTTGAAGATTGAAAACTTGTTTTATTTTACATTTTTCTTCAGATTTTGTATTTAAATTTAATTTACATATTTAAAAACAAAGTTTAGGTAAAATGCATAGAAAAAAATGTTGAATAAAATAACTTTCACTAAACTGCACTCTGTAATTTTGGTATAAATAGAACCGACATATTTTCTCAATTTTATTCTTGAAAAGATGCAGTGGAAAACCGTTCTTCTTCTTTTTGGTACTAAAATGAACATTTTTAAGATTTTATTTAAATTCATGCTTTTTCGTATACTTTCTAGTTCTAACAGTGACAGGAGGACATACAGATGAATTAATAACTGAACAAAATCAGCTCAAAGCGGTCAAAAGTGAGAGCAACACGCCGGAAATAGTCAAGAATTCCAGTGAAATATCTTCAACAACAGCAGCTAACAAAGATTTGGAGACCACTACGCCGGAAATAATCAACAATTTTAGTGTGATATCTTCGACAACAACAACTAACAAAGATTTGGATGTGAGTTCACCGCCATGTACAAATGAACATACTCCAATGACAGCGGTTAAGAATGACAATGATGTCGAAACGGCCAGAACAAAAACAGTAATAAAAGAAAGTTCTCGGCCTCATTACGTCTATTATCCATATCCATATAACAATGCACCCACATATCCTCCTCCGACACCGTACAGTACCACACGAAGACCATATCCAACATATCCATCTTATCCACCATACTATCCATATCCTTATCAGCCAGGCTATCCGTTCCCAAATGGCCCACCATACTACCCACCAATTTTCGCACCCTTCCCAGGCTTTCGTTCAGTGACCTACAACCAAAATAACGATTTGCCGCGAAGCGCAGTATTTAAGCCCGTCGAAGAGGAGGAATATTTTGTGACCCACGAAAAATCGAACTCAGCCCAACAATCCGCAACTAAAACTGTGCCTTTTTGGAATTTTTTAAATTTTGGAAATTTTAAAAAATAAATTTCTTTCGCTGTGGATGATTAAGTGTAAAGATTTAAACTTGTATTTTTGTTTTGTTTTTATTCATCGCACAAATTGAAATGATTTTATAGCTTATGAATCACAAGCTCCGTTGATTTGGAATACATATGTATATGGAATTAGTCATGCCGAGATATTTTATAAAAACGTGCTAGAATTTAGGAAGCTTTCGAAATGAAAAGAAAAACACACCTTTGAATTTTGATTCAGTAAATAAATTTAAGATTTGAAGGATTTGTAGACGTGATTAATTAGTGGTTTTATCAATGAATATGAAATTTCTCATGCAGAATATATATTTTTTTTAAAATATATCTCTAAAAAATTACACATATTCATTTCTTATCTCGTGTGAAGCACAAAATTAATTTCATTTAATAAATTTTAATTATTTGAGGACTTTGATTGGTAAGTCACACATAAAAACAATGAAAACTCTCTTTCTTCAATGAAGTTCATATTGCTCTGGCGTACTAATATATAAAACATACCTAATATAAATATTATTGCTAATATAAATACTAATATAAATATTAGTAGAGATTAATTTTGAGAATTTAAGTCGAGTGAAATTAGGTTAAAAGTTTGGAGATGGTGTAAGATGACAAGCGAAGAGGAGGAGCAAAAAAATATACTTTATATATCACCAAAGAACAGGAAACTTATCATTTTATTAAGGCTAGCGATGAACCTGTTGGGCAAAGGTTAGGTTAGGTTATACTGGCGAACCCTAGTGGATCCACTTAGGCCTATTGGCTCATTGTGTTACCGTATATATTTAGGAAAAACTCAGGGTTTAAAATCACTTAGAACCTTTGGCGAAGCCGAAAATGCTATTTAGCGTCAGGACCTGTAATTGTTCAAGATCCTCCAGAAAGGGAGCTCCTAAAGTATTGAGTCATTGCCGTGCATGTGCTGGGCCTGTTGCGCAAAACTTATAATGGTCTATAGCATAATCGATTGTATTTATCAATTAATCCGATGTAGAACTGAAGTTTGTGCAAACCTATAGCTCACAATTGATGAGTTTAAATGACATTGCAATTTATAACGCAATGAGTTTAAGTAATTAATGATGCATCACATCTTGCCTAGCCACACCATATACCAGTTATATGTCTTAAATAAAACACTTAAATAAAGAAGTAGCATGTCTCAGTGTGACGATGTATTACAGATTTAAATGATTTTTATTTCCCGAAACAAACGAGCAAAAAATAGAAAATCTTTAAATCTCTTCAGTTTATTTATATTTATATAGTTATAAATTTTTTTTAAATAAATTTTTTTTAAATAAATTTTTTTTAAATAATTAATTCATATACGTGTATTTCTTGATGTTCGTTGGAAGAAGAGACATTTGCTAAATCAGATTACTTAGTATAGTTAGTTGACTTTGATTTAAATATAAATATAAATAGATATAAACATTTGTAATATAAAGAATGATTTTAATGTGTGACAATTCAGCCACATATACAAGTTAGTTCCTTTAAAGAGCAGGTGTAAAGAGATCTGAACATTGAGGGGTCTTTTTTGCAGATCCATTCTATGTCTCAGAAGGTTATATAAATTGGTCAACCCTTCCATGTTATATATCAGAGTAGAAGAACAATTTCGGTTATATAAATCTATGATGGATCTGCAATGTTTGGCATAAAAATCTGTGACAACTTGTCATAGATCATCATAAATAACACATTTATTATTATTTATTCCACTATATTATTGAAGAGATTTCACTCTGAAGCGCTTTTCTTAATCTTAAAAAGTAGAGCTGGGTTACGTTTCAAAAAACATTAAATTGGATTTCATTTAAATTGAATTTGATAATAAGTGAAGTAATTTTTATTTTAAAATTTATATCGGAATTTGCAGTAATATCAAATTAAACACGTAATCATGTATTTCTCTTCGCTGA